AAAAAATTAAATATGAAATATTTAAATAAATAAAAATATAAAGGATTTACATACGTACTATATAATTTTTATATATTTATATTTTCAACACTTAAATTTTGAATTTTTTTACTTATTCGATATCTAAATCTTTAAATTATTCAAAAACATATCTAATATTGATTATTTATGTAAAATTTACTTGTTATTACATATTTTGATGTACTTGATGTATATATAAATATTTTATAAATAAAAATTAAAATTTTAAAATAAGTTATACATATATTATAAAAAATTATGTGATAAATATGTAAAACAAAACCTTAAAAAGAAAATAGTCGTGCCAATGTGAGAAATTATTTGATGAGGAGATCAAACAATGAGAACCGTCTGGATTTATTACGCTTTAGCTGTCATTTTGTTGCGCTTTTATAAACACTTAGCAAGGTGACAAATATGCATTCATAATTTCACTTTTGCTTTTTTTTTAATTCAGTATTTGTAAATATACAATAAAAGGGCAGCTAAATTGTAGCAAATATCATTCTAATTAAATATTTGCTATTATTTTGCTACGCTTTTAGAAATACTGAGTAAAAGGACAGCAAAAATACAATTATGAATGCATATTTGTTGTTCTTCGCTGAGTGTTTGAAAAAGCGCAGTAAAAAATTAACTAAAGGACAGTAAATCGGGGATTTTCACCATCCTATCTCCGCATAGAATAATTTCTCTACCAATGTTGGACTAATTTTTAACTAAATATTGTTACAGATTTTTTTATTTAAATCATCCTTTAAAAAAAAATTAAAAAATCGTCAAAGTTAGGTTTAAACTGCCGCGCAGATCTGCCCTGTAAACGGGCGACTGGCCATTGTTCTTTTATTTTAAAACCCTAAACCCCAGTCATCTTCCTCCGCTTCTTCGCTACCGTCAGTTTTGCGCTCCAGATCTGCCGTATAGAGTGAAGTTTTTGTGGAGAGGTAAGTTTTTTCTTTTTTTCTTTTTTTTTTTTACTGTAATAGTTTTTTTTTCTGCCATTAAGATTGGTACTGGAGAATGCTCTTATGGTTGAAGATTACAATTCTACAACTTTAGCTTAAAACCTTATTTCCTCCATTGTCTCATTACAAGTGAAATTCTTATGTAAATATAATAATTAAATTCGTTGTGGAAGTTAAATCATATTAATCATTTCTAATTTTTTTTATGTATTTTTGTCATGTTAATGATATTTAGGTAGGGCATGAATATATGATCTCTTAATTAAGCGCTTAAATTTATAATCATCATTTTTTAAAACCGAGATGAGCTAGATAAATAAAGTTATTGCCTTCGTAAGAGAGTATGATTGCAGCCGAAAGTAATGAAGTAGTTTAATTTTGGATTAGCCTTAATTTGCAAAATATCCGAACTATTTCATTTTACACTGTTATACAATAATCATTTGAGATATAATTAATTTATATTAATTTCAATAAATTTATATTCGTAATGATCTAATTGAAGTTGTTTTATTTATTCTTAAGTTTTTTTTTAAAGTTAATTAGATATTAATCAATAAAAAAATGATGATCAGTAAGTTTTAACTTGGTTATATTATTAAGGGGTTCTAGGAGGCCATAATGAATGGAAAACTAGCATTGTTTATGCTCATGTTTGATGCTAAATTAAGTGTGGATGAGAAATTTGTGTCGACATATACTGGGGGTAAAAATCGGCCTTTGCAAGTGTCTATAAATACAAAATTAGAGTAGTTTAAGCTTAGAGTGCTTAAAGCACTGAAGATTGATGCATCCACGTATACAATCAACATAGTTTGTCGATTTTCAGCTGTTAATGATTTCATTGCAACGCATGTTGATCATGATGAAGTATGTGATATTGTTATATCTCATGCTATTGGAGTATGTCTTATTCTATACGCTGAAGTATAAGAAAAAAGTTTAGAAAACAATATATATAGATGAAAATCTGACATCCCAATTTCGAGAATCATTTAGTTTGGATGATGAGGTGGAGATGCATGGTGGTGGTCCCATGCACTTGGCAGAGGAATACTTCTATGTTTGGTAAGTTGCACATTAAAAGTTATTTTAATTAGCTTAGTCTTCTTAGATTGTGTATTGGCTTTTAACTAATCAATGGGAGTCTGATGCAGAGATGACCAAAATCAACGTGGACCAAATGCTCCAAGTAGTTCGGCACAACAATCTTGTGCAAACATGTCGGGAGCTACTGGGTGTAGAGTTACCATGCCGGTTGTCGATGAATGTTATGAGGCAATGGACAGCGGATCAGGCAAGCAGGATTGTGATAGTGCTGATGAATTAAGGCCGAATTGTAATGAGGTGAATGTAGGAGATCATGATGACATTTGTGATCTTATACAAAATTATTGCTGTGTGACTCCAAATGCTGAAATTTCAACATATAATAAATTAGACAATGTTATATATTTTTAAATGAAGATTCAATTACTTAGCTGTTAGTTGTTTGTTGAAAGTTTATAGTTCAGTCAAGTATAGTGCTTGAACAAGGACATCATCTTGTGGACTATTTGGATCAAGATAGTTGGAAAAATTCTCACTTGAGTAATAAGCTTGATCAACTGAGGAAAATAAAAATGATTTCAAAGAGGATACACCGGAAAAGAAGATCAGAGAATTACGTAGTTTTGTGAGATCCATTAATGTTCATGATTGCACAAAGCGATTAGTATCTTCTAATTCAAACACGTGGTAATATAATGTTTTCACACGCAAAATATTTACAGTGTTACTAGCTTTTCTTCTCTCTTATTAACGTCTCCTTCTCTCTTGATTTCAGGTAAAACAAAAACTCAAGATGATTTCAAAGCTTTCATTAGCATGGAAACATAAAATAGCTGATAAAAAGCAGTTCTTTATCATATATAATAATGTCATTATTATTTTATAAATTCCTTTTACTTCACTGTTTCTAAACCATATGCCTTTACAGTTAAACCACCCAACTTGAACTTATAGTTGATCAAACGTCCTTCAAAATCACCAAATTGTCGGTCATCAAATGCTGGCAAAACTTGAGATAGAGACTACTGAATTTTAAAATAATAGGCGATAATAAATGTTGTGTTGCGTGTTAGAAAATACGCGGCGGTAGAGTTTGTAAATTCGCGTCTGAGCGTTGTACGTAAGTTTAACACACAAACAGGAAAAAGGAATGAACACCAAGAGTTTTTACGTGATCAAGATGATTTTGCGATGCCGTATCATGTTGTATGTTACAATTAGATCATACTGTGCAATTGTGATGAAGGAAAAAAAAAAACTCCAATGCACGTTTAGGATCACCTTTCTTCTTGTTATTGATTTTGTTTTCTTTTTGAAAAAAAATGTTTTTCGCTGTACTTTTTTTAAAAACAAATAAAATTATTTTTAAAAGCACTTAAATTTTAAGTGCTTTTTAAAAACATCATATGTTTTGTAACAATTTTAGCTACTACCTATGATGTTTATGGTAGTTTGCTTTAAGGCTCTTAATGGTCTAATTTGATTTTGTATATTAACTTAGGAGAACTTTAAATGCTGTAGTTTATTAATACACAATCTCCTTCATTAAAATTCCAACGGTGTTCTGTTAACCTTTTTCCCATGCCTTTTAAAAACTTATACTCAAAGTAAACAGTAGGTTAAATATTCTTCAATTATGATAGAGCAAATGTGTAGTTAGAGTTTTCAATTATGATATGATAACATGTGCTTGGGCTTTTGAAAAAGTGCAATGCAGGTTAAGTATTCTTCAAGTGATCACGTATTTGGGCTTTT